GGTTGCTGTTTAGCACGTCTTCAATTTCCTTTCCAGCTATGTTTGTGTCCTTGTAGCCCCATCTGGTGGAGTGGGCGTTGAAGTCTCCTAATACTATAGTTTTGTGTGAGATGTTCAGAAAGTCAAAGTTTGGGCAATTCTGGGGTGGATTATAGACTGCATATATCTTGAATTGGTTTTAACATTTCCAAACATTTAATCTGATTATTTCACATTTGTCTTGTGTCGAGCCCATACTCTTGATTATGTCGTAGTGTGAGGTGAGGCCTTCTTTTACTCCAGTTAGAATTCCACTTGCAACTTGCCGGTATTTAGGTAGATTGTACAGGGTGTAACCTGGGAATTGGTAATACTTCAGTTTGTCATCCGAAATGTTAGCTTCTATAATTGTGAAAATGTCTACATCATAGGTTTGTAGGATTTTCTGTATTTGGATCTTTTTGTCCGGAGACATTCCTCCAGCATTCCACTGGAGGATCTGAAGACATTGTGATTCGCCCTGACGAGGGCGATTTTTCGTATAGCCTTTTTTAAAGCTAATCATAATTAATCGAAGTCAAAAACGGATGCCGAGTGATAGACTTTTTTGCCGTAAGAAAATACGTTGTCCAGGGTGCACCACGAGGAGGTAAGTTTATTGCGCACCCCAGGAAACCTGTAATTATAAATCAAGAATCTATGCACATATCTCTGTATTATTTATAGGTCCAGGTTATGAACTCAAACTCAACTGGGAGACATTTAAAAACCCTTTGTGATTTTAGGAAGAGTCTTGATGAAAATAGTAAGATATGATTGGTATATGTAAAATGGTAGGGCGACTTTAAGAACCACTTATTCGCCGTGATTTTTCACAAAATTGAATTTTCTCAAATTTTTCAATGAAATTGAATGAATCATTTTACTGCTTACTCGGAACTTGGAAAAACATATTGAATGTCTATTATTTAGAAGCTTGCAATATATCTCTAACATTTTCACCAGTATTGTATGACTATTTCCATTCTCACCTTGCCAGGGTTGATTCCGAGGCCACCACGTTAAAAATGCGCATATATGTAGGCTTTCCTTATTATATGGTGCATACTTAAACAATGAGCGTTTTGAAAAACAATTTATTCCAGGAAGTATAATCTTTCACTTAAAGCAACATTTACCGCTCTGATGTTGCTTATTTTCATCAACCAGATCATAAGGATCATTCTACTTTCGTATTACTTATCAATTTACTTCCGCAAGCAAGCATTTAAATTATGAACTTCCATCTATTGATGACCTCTTTAAATCGGCTAAATTTCCTTAAATGTTTACAAATTGTGTTATTAATAATGAACCCTATTATTGACCTAAGCTAACGAAATAGCTGCTTTTGGTGTTGAGATGAATTGACCCCTCTACTTTGTTTATCCCAAAGTCGCACCTTGATATGCTCACCCATTCAAACCTTTTGTAAATGAAGATGAGAGTTTGGTGGTTCTGAAATATGAATTTAGCCAACATATTTTTATCTTTCAGAGCGTTAATACTAGAATATCCCAATTAACAGTAGAAATTCTAGTCAAACTGCCGCAATATTTAATCTATCTTTGTTCTTAATCTATTCGCAAGCTATGAGATGGACAAATGGGAAGACGCCAGGATTTGGAATGTGCGGGCATACACATAGAGCTTTGATCAGATATTTAGCTTTTAATGTTCACTCGAATTATGTTAGATTTATTTGACAACTATTCGCAATTGCCGGTGATCAGAATTTTCAATAAACTTGCTCTGTCGAATACGCCACCTTCCTACCTGGCTTCGCTGGAGCTTAGGTAGTTCAGGGAGTCTAGCCAGATATAGGAAATACTGCCATAAAGATTTCTGAGTTGGTCAAGGCTTTACTAGTGTAGCAGTCCGCTACACAGCTTCTTTGTCCTGGCCACAGAATAAGCCATTGGAATCAAAGTTGTTGGCACACATAGGGATGGGCAAACAACAATACGGCTAATGACCCATATCCCCATTCGAACACCCAATTGTTCAGCAATGAACGAAGAACTTAACTCTTTTTCTTAACTCATTTCGCCTATTGTCGACATTCCCCGGTCTGCAACGTTGCCCTACATCTTCGTCAGACTTACAAATTCCACGAATTCGTCCCATGCTCACTTGTTCATTAATGAAGGTTAAAACATATTTGTGCGGGTTAACATTTAATTTTCACTCAGAAAAATCAATGGAAGCATAAGACACTGGCGAATGTCGAATGGCAGGTCATTTAAGTAATTCACAAGTCATTATTGCTCTATTTCTATTATAAATCAATATATGACTAAATAACGATGCCAGTAATTCATTAAAATGAAGTAATCTACTACGTACAAAATAGGTTTCGCAAATCTACACCCTTGCGAAAGAGGATTATCTGCAATAGACCCAAATTAGGAAAGCATTTCACAACGTTTGCCATAGGTGGAGAGATCGACATCAAGAGGACCCTTGGAAGGGGGGGGGGCTAATTTTCGTCAACCCCCATATATTAAACAGACTTAATCGATATGATTAACCATTTGCTTACTGCATATACACCATTGAGCATCAATACTGTGACCTCTGTAGTGTACTGATTCACTAACCCATTCAATATAAATCATAATTATAATTCAAAAGATGCCAACCCAATCACAACCCCCTGTCACCCTTACTCGTGGATAGCTTAGCATACAGCAAGTCCAACAATCGTGTCAATCTTCCAATTCTCTATATATGTACCTCTAGGGTGCGCGATAGATTTACCTTCACGTGGTGCACCCCGGGCAACGTACACTCATCCGGCAAAAGTCTATTAACTGGCAGTTGACTCCTGACTACAAAATACCATGACTTGCCTGTATGTCATATTCCACCACTTTCACAGTACTCACTTCACCTTCTTTCTACCTTTGTGTCCGTCTCTTTTTCATCTTTAAAACGCTCTTCTATTCCCCCCTCTTGACTTTTTCAATTTGATGTTCCTTCAACTCTGCGAAGCCTGAAGTCATCTCTGGAGATAATGATCACTATCAAAACGCCTGCCATTTGGTATAAATAAATATATGTACCCCCATGAAGATTAAATACACAAAACTAAGAAACCATTTTTTTGTTTTGCTTTCACTAAGAAGTACATAGATTACAATTTATACAGTACCAGAAGAAAAGTTACAAGACCAACTCGTCAAAGTCGATTTCCGAAAAACCCACTAAATCATTTTCCAACGTCGTATTTGAAGAGACTTTGTGATCACGGGCAACTGAGGTGGAGGTAAGATTACAATTCATGCCAATCTTCGCTTCCTCACCCACAAGGCAGTTGGTGAGTCGTGTGCTGAAAGAGATATCGTTACAAAGATAAGAGGAAAACAACATACATTCACCCACCCCCCCAATCCTTCCCACTTACTCGGATAATATTGTTGTCCCAGCAAGAACAACGCAACCGTGGACTCTCACATTCTCTCCAATGGTACAGTTGCGACCAATAAAACTAGATCGAATGTCTGCACTGCTGGCTATCGCACAATCATCACCAATATCCGAATCGAAAATTGTCGCCGTTTTGGCGTCTTCATTTCCAGAATCCTTTGGCTTCTTTTTTTCTTGAGGCTTTTGTTCACGTTTACCAGCAGCTCTAATCTGCAAAACAATTAGAGTGAGAAACATTACAATCCCAAATGTTATATAGGGTATAAGGGAATAGAGCACTAAATTAACCTGCTTCACAGCATCCAAGTAGGATTGAAAGCTTTCTATTCGACGACAGATAACCGCATCCTCTACGATCAGAGCAGAAGCCCTGCAGTATTGCTTTTCGAATCGATCTGGACAAAGTTCTTGCATGCACTTAACCATTACGTCAGGGAGTTTGAAGTTCGGAGGAGCATTTCTTGTGACTAAAAAGGAGAAGAAAAACGGTTGCGTTCTTAAAATGATTATTGCGGGTAGAGGTAAGACACTCAAAGCCAATGGGCAATCAGTCCAGACATTCCGTCTATCCCTCATTATAGAAAGCTCATCAATGGGTCACAAATACGAACATTTAGGACATACAAACCTACTCTCTAAAAAGTAAAAAATATCAATTAAAGACAATACGCTTTAGTAGGAAAAAAGCTTATGCAACGATAACCTACGATCTACAATTGTGTACTCCACAGGGGTGTACTGGAGTTTATTAACAATATCCGTAAAGAATTGTTTCGGTTCATTATTCCGACTAAAAATGAAACAAGAAAATCAAAATCAAATGGCGCAAATATTGAGAAAACAGGGGATAATAGAGCTTGGTTGGTATAGCCTCAAACTCACACTACAAGCTTATATAAACCTCTACGTATTAAAAGACTAGATTACTGAAAACAGTAAAAAAGAGATTGTCAGGGGAGAGAAGGAGCAACCTACTTATTATCTTCCAGCATCTTATAACACAGGCCAGTAATGAGGTAGAAACCGGAGTCATGAAGATCAGAACGAATAGTTAATTCCTTTTGTTTAAGACTCTGGGGAACTTCGATCTGTTTCTTAGCGTTTGCAACATAATGTGCCAAATTGTCGTCTTTATCGAGCATGATAACGTCGGTAGGATGATCTCGAAAGGCCGAATCACGAGAGAAGGGGGAGATGACAGCTCCAAAGTAACTGTCATTGCGGCAGAGTTTCTTGAAAAGATCCTTAATGACATTCTTAGTAATGACAAAATCGTCGTAGGTGACACAGATGTAACGACCTCCATATGCACCAACAATTTTATCACAGCAGTCAAGAAGACACTCAGCAATGGTGGCCTTCCCTCGTACCTCGATTATGTCACAATTTGTGTCAGGAGGAAGACATCGCTTTATTTCTTCGCTTTGGTGAGGACGACAAACAACGATTGGCTTGGTGACGCCGGCTTCAGCAAAGTTTTTTAGAAGTAAGCTGAGAATAGTGTACTCCTTGCTAATAGGCAACTGTCCAACAACACCGGGATGAGTTAGTTGACGTAGATAACGATTGTCATGTAAAGCAATTATGATAGCCTGCATGGAACCCATCTAAAAATTCAGTGTCAAACAGTGAAAGTAAAATAGACTTGAACCATATAATTAAAAGCAAGAAATAATATAAATTGAAGTACTTGTTAAACGAAAGTGAAAGTTAGCACTGCAGTGTCAAGAAAAAGGTCTAAATATGACTGTTTGACTTTTTGCTCATCTCTAGTCTAATAAAACAATTTTATCATTAAAAGTTCATTTTTATATAAATAGGAGTATATACTGTAAGTAAAATAATACGTCAGTGAGTTTTTGGTTTTGGCTTTTATTTAATGAATATTATTGATAATATACGAAAAACGGAGCCGTTCGTTTGCATTATAATACACGCCAAAATAATTCACAAGTTTTCTTCAAAATTTAATTTTGCTGTAATTTTGTTGCAGTAGGGCTGTCACACCATTTACAAACTGACAAAATGCAATTTTATCTCGAATTACTACGTTCAGATTCGTTAAAGTAAATGTCTGTTACGCGGGCCAATGGTAAATATCATAAAACATGCCATTTGAAATAATGATAATGCCTGTTTCCTTACTCTAATCAAAAGTACGTGTCCTTCACCTCTTCTATTTGGACATATTTTCTTCAATGCAAAGTTTATCATCGAATAGATATAGATTCTGTTAAGAGTTTCCTAGTAACAATATTAACGACTTATTCCTTCAGTTAAACCAGCAATAAGTTAAGTTTGCAATTTGATTAGGACATATTGCATAAATTTTGTTCCCCTTGGATGAAGAGATCGATATCAAGCAGACCCCCTATTTATCAGACAGATTTAGTCGACGTGATTAACCACTGGCTTACTGGTTGTACACCATTGAGCAACAATACCGTGATCTCTGCCGGGTACTATTCCTTAACAAATTTGGATATTTGCGGCAAGGGATTCTCAATGGACAAACTCGATTTTTCTTGCCTCATTCACTTAATCCTGTTTTCGGTTTAAATAGATGTTTATTAACCAGCAAACATAGACTCGTCTATTAATCTCCACAAATTGGTATAAAATGAAACCATGCGTGATTTAATGAAATTATAATAACGATTTTTTGGTGAATAATATTGGAACTTCAGTGTTTAGCCACATAATAAACTCCTTTTGAAGCACAAATAAGTGTTTGAGTTTGAAGCGTCTCTCCCCTTTTCAGCTTATCTCGGTTGTTTATCTAAACAGTAGTAAATACCTTCATAAGCTAAGATATGGATCTTCATCCTAAAACCACACAGTTAAGAGCTTCTATTTTGTCCTAATCTGTATATCTTTACCCCTTTGCTATTTTTATTAACTGCTGAGGCTGAATATCAAACAATAGTGTCATTACAGCCCACATTCCAACTAATGATGTGTTTGTTAGAAGCCATAAAAACAGCAATGGTGGTTGCAGCACTAAAATGCTGGTTCCCGAATGCACACACGCACACACCCACCAAGGATGATTTGTGGGTGTAAATAATAGACAACAAATAGTAGCGCCTTAGAAGTTCCGACAAATATTGACGCGGGTTTTATAACGCGTTTCATCTTGATCCTTATTATAAACATGGTTTATGTGGAAAGCAATGGCCTTCATTTTATTGTCACTACAATGTTTCTTATCCAACGATTTTATACACTTTTTGCTTTTTGGTGATAAGTCACACATGTAAATATTGTTTGGTTAGCCTTGAAATTAAAATGAATAACTATTCATTTACCTTAATCAATGCTTATTAAGAAACTTAAGTTCGTTCTATTTCAGCATACGGTACTTTTTTGAAAAGAAGTGCAAACATGCCATACATGGGCTTTCGAATAGCCGTATCAAATCAACCGAAACTATAGGCCAAATAATATTTATTTATTTATTTCAAATGGCAGGCGTTTTGATAGCTATCATTAGCCATTTAGCTGACTTCGGGCTTCAGAGAGGGAAGGTTCATCAAAGTAGAAGAAAATTGAGGGGTGGGGTGGTTAAAAAGTCTATTAACCGGCAGTTGACTTCTGGACAAATAATATAAATATCAGTATATTTTTAAGACTTTTATGTCCAGGGGGACAACTAGGCCTCTCTACATTTCAGAACGTTTTCCTTATCTAACGTCTAAAAGTATTAATGCCTGTGGCTGTATCTCTGGGCATAATGAATTTTTATTGCAACGCGATAACATTGAACATAAAATATCCAATATTATTTCCTAAGTCATCCTAAAGCA